TATATATATATATATATATATATATATATATATATATATATATGTATATATATATATATATACATATATATAATTACACGTATATTTTAATCTTCAAAAAACAATGAACAAAAGAACGGAACAAAAATGCGCAATTGATTAGCTCAATTTATAATAAATGTTCAAAAATTCCTCCATTTGCTTCAACACAAAGATGACATTGTCGAAACATTCACAAGGGTATTTTGTATTTACTTTCGCAACTCTTATCGATGAGGCATTGAAACAGAAACAAAATTGTTAACCCGAATTTCGACGATGTCATTTTTGTGTTGAAGCAAATGAAAGAATTTTTGAACATTTATTATAAATTGAGCTAATCAATTGCGCATTTTTGTTCCTTGATTGCGTTCTTTTGTTTATTGATTTTTGAAGATTAAAATATATATGCGTAATTGAAATAAATTTAATTTTTCCATTTATATGTTTGTTTTTTTATTAAAATCATAAAATTCTTATTTTGTATCCTGTAGTATTAAAACGAAGCATCGTAGAGAAAAACATTACTAACAAAATATGTTTATTTTTATGTCCTTTATTTCCCCTCAAAGTTTGTCGGTCTAATTTTTTTTACATCCTGTATATATATATATTAAGAATGTTTATACTGTATATATGTAATATTATAAAAAGAACGTTCAATATTTTTTAAAACATTATTTAAAATATCGTCATTTGAGGTAACTTGGAACACCGGGGTAAGTTTGAACAATTTGCAATGGCTTACAAAAACATGTGGCATCATTAAATGGATAGAGGTAGAACTTTCATATTAGCGATATAAAAGTTACCCCAAATGACGATATATTATTGTTCTTGAAATAAAATAATTTTTGTCAATTTATGTCTGATATATTGACATTTTTGGCTCATTAATTTTCCCTCATAATTCATAACAATTTTAACATAATTTTCTATAATTAATTTTGTTATAAAATATTTGTGGTTTTCAAGAAAGTCTAATTCTTTTTATTACTTCTACTATACTATTACATCTTTCCAATATGTATCACCATGTGATACGTGGATATTAGAAGCGTTTACGTTGCTAACTCTGTTTTGCTCTACTGAATTCCTTCTTTTGTCGTTGTTTGGTCCTGGCGGCGCTACAAATGTTGACAGATGCTCAGAATCGCCGCTAGCAGTCCATGATTATATAGTCAAAGCTTAAGATGGTTTTAAGAACAGACTATGAATACCAGCCTATAATATTAAATCCGATATCTCATAGTGTTTTATCGTACACAGTTTGAACAGAAGTCCCATATCTATCGCAAGATAACTCTAAACTTTTTATTGAAGGCGTGATCGGCTGTTGGGGTCAGGCTAGCCAGCGCCTAATGGAGAGTGAACGCGAATCTCCCTAGACTTAGAAGTTTGTGGCCATTCCGCGCGTCGCTAGCGTTACTACATTCCCGGGGTGCTTACGATAACGAGAGTAGAGTGAGTGAGATCTGCACTGAGATTCTATAACTCGTTATTGGAGTTAACGTCGTTAACTCCAATAACGAGTTACAGAATCCCAGCACTGGATACCTATTATGGACTTCTTCGGAATCAATTCCGATCAGAATAATTCCGTTTCCCTTAGAAAAGACAATAAAAATCTAGGAAATAACTAAATGTTTCCGATCGGAATTGATTCCGAAGAAGTCCATAACAGGTACCCTGGGTCCGAGAGAATAATAGTATCTATCTCCTATCTATAACTATAATATTCTATGGTTTGCTTTTGCTTTAGTTGGTCGATCATGAATCTTTTCCTCTAGCGTGAATTCATGAAAATTTTCTAATGTAAAAGCATATAGAAATGTTCACTTTTCACGAGTTCACGTTAGAGGAAAAGACTCATGACTGATCCCCTCTTGTAGTCTCATGAACACAGGAGCAAATCAGGAGTTCGTCTCACGAACAACAAAGGGTA